GAATAGGCTTAACCCGGGAGGCGGGGGGTTGGGGGTGCTAAAAGCCCGCCATTTTCCCCCCGACCGGGGAAAAAAAGGTAAACCCCCGTCAAAAAAAAAAAAAAAAAAAAAAAAAAATCTTGTAGTGCCAGAAAGTAAAGAAGTGCTTAAAAAAACAAAATGATGATGATATCTCAAAAGGACACAGGAGTCAAACTGAACAAGCTCCCTATGTCTACAGCTGAACCAATTCAAGCAAGAAAACAAACAACATAGTACTGGGATTATAATCCAAAGTGCAAAATAAATATCCATGAGTACATACTGATATAAATGATTGAATAATAAATAAATGGAGAGAAGAGATACATCTCCCTAAGAGAAGAATCCCAAATAACTTCTGTAGCTATTCCCCCCTCAAGGTGACGGAGCTGAGCCCTCTCCCAGTTAAACTGGGATGTGCTTACAGACTTGCTCCCAAGGATAGCATAGGGAAAGAGCTGAGTGTGGAGGGAGGGACAGGGAGTAATTTTACAGTGAAAACACCTAGAAAACACTACTTCTGCCAGGTGATCAAGGTTAATATTACCAGTGATAAGTCATGTTGACAGTAAGTACCATTGATGTGATGTGATAAGAATGGTATGTCATTCCTGTGACCTTCCACTCCAAATCCCATAACCCCAGTCTAATCAGGAGAAAAACATCAGATAAATCCATATTGAGGAACAGCCTACAAAACACCTGACCGGTACTTCTCAAAACTAAAAGTCATCAAGTACAAAGAAAATCTGAGAAACTGCCACAGACCAGAAGAGGCTAAGAAGAGATGATATCGAAATGAAATACAGTATCCCGGATGGAATCCTTGAACAGATAGAAGTCATTAGAAAAAACTAGTAAAATAGGAATAAAATGAGTAGTTTTATTGATAGTAAAGTGCCAATCTTGGGCTCTTTAGTTGTGACAAATGTGCAATAGTACAGTAAAATGTTACAGAGGGTAACATTTAGGGTGAAAGGTACACAGAGATTCTCTTTACTAACTGTGCATCTGTTCTGTACATCTAAAACTATCTTAAAAGTTTATTTACATTAAGAAAAATTGCTGTGAGATGTCATATTAGCTTTCTGCAGCTGTTATAGCAAATTATCACAAACCTGGTCACTTAAAACAACAGAAGCGTATCCTCTTACAGCTATGGAGGCCAGGAGTCTGAGACCAGTGGCAATGATGTCAGTTTTACCAGGCGCCAGCAGGGCCACCTCCCTCCAGAGGCTCCAAGGGAGAATCTATTTCCTTGACTGTCCAGCTTCTAAAGCTACTTTCCTTGGCTCATGGGCTCTTCCTCCACCTCCAAAGACAGCACCATCTTCGAATCTTTCTCTCTGCTTCCATTATCACATCATCTTTTGCCCTCTGTGTCTCGTAGAATCTCTCTCTGCTTCCCTAACAGCGTTCAGAGCCTGTCCAGATCATCCAGGATAAGCTCCATCTCAAATTCCTCCACATAATCTCATCTGCAGGGCTCTGTCAACCATTTTTGCCACGTAAGCTAACATCTACAGGTTCTAGAGACTCCGATGCAGATATCTTTTGAGGAGCCATTTTTCAGCCTACCACAGGTGCTAAGTAAGTTCTTTATTCTCTCTGAGCCTCAGCTTCCTCATCTGGAAGTGATATATGCAAACGTGAAGTAAATTAGGAGGGCTGATCTGCCACTGGACTGGTAGAAGGGGAAGGCAGGAGCTGAAGACCACCTTGTCCTGGGCAAATGAGACCTGACACTACTCTCTTCCCTATGTTTCTCCCCTCCACACTGGCCAGAGTTCCTGATGAGGATGTGGTAGTATAAGCAAAGAAATCTGGAGCTAGGGATCCTAAGATCTAAGTTCAAGTCCCAGCCCTGTCAGCAACTTGCAGCATGACCTCAGGTAAATCACTTTCTGTATCCGGAGTACACAGTGATTCTAAGAAGCACATATATGTCAGTTCTGCCCTGGGAAAGGGCTGGAGAGGGACTACTGAGATCCCTCTTGCCCTGAGAGGTCATAATTATGGGATGTTTCTATTCCTGGTGTTTTCCTACTGACTAAAGGATCTAGGTCTCTCCTTGTAACTAGAGCCCAGTGGAAGCAGCAATGCTTAGTAATGGTAGTAATGGTAGAGGGTTTGGCACTGTGGCTTGTGGGAGGGTGAAGACAGAAGGGAGGAGCCTCCTGTTTCTCACTCACTTCTCCCAAGGTCCTGTTAGTCTAGACTAGGGGTCAGCAAGCTACAGCCTCTGTTTGAATGACCTGTGGGCTAAGAACGGTTTTTACAGATGAACCTTTGAAATCAAAGTAATGAATGATAGGAAAGCCTAACTTTGAGCCCCAGTAAACTGAAATGTCATCATCCAAAAAAGAATTTCATTCTTCTTATTAGAAGGCCTATGTTACAAAAAATTATACTCAATTATTTACTTTGGGTTTACGTTAAAATTTTGTAGCCAAGTGTGATGTCATGCACCTTAGTCCCAGCTACTCTGGAGGCTGAGTTGGGAGGATCTCTTGAGCCAGGGAGTTCTAGGCTGTAGTGTGCCATGCCAATTGTGTGTCCACACTCAGCTTGGCATTAATATGACTTCCTGGGAGCAAGTGTCGCCTAAGGAGGGGTAAACCAGCCCGGGTCAGAAATGGAGCCAGTCAAAACTCCTGTGCTGATTAGTAGTGGGGTCACACCTGTAAATAGCCACCGCACTCCAGCCTGGCAACTTCATGAGACTCCTTCTCTTTAAAAAAAAGCAAAAACAAAAGCCAGCCGGGTGCAATGGCTCACACCTATAATCCTAGCACTTTGGGAGGCCGAGGCAGGCTGATTGCCTGAGCTCAGAAGTTTGAGGCCAGCCTGGGCAACACGGTGAAACCCCATTTCTACTAGAAATACAAAAAATTAGCCAGGTTTGGTGGTGGGCACCTGTAGTCCCAGCTACCCAGGAGGCTGAGGTAGGAGAATCGCTTGAACTGGAAGGCAGAGATTGCAGTGAGTCGAGATCACACCACTGCACTCCAACCTAGACGACAGAGCGAGACTCTGTCTCTAAAAACAAACAAACAAACAAAAATATCTTGTAGAAACACATTTTATCGCTTGTTATGTGAATACTTGCATAATATCCTGGACTTTGCCTTTCGGCCTGGAAAGCCTCTATCAGCCCCCAATTAATGAGTTGTCCTATCTTCCACCTCAAATCTGTCTTAAGCCATCCACTTTCCACTCTGCAGCCAGAAGGATCCTTCTACTGTAAGTCTGAGCATACCATTCCCCTGATTCAGACTTCCCATGGTCTATCTGTCCAGCTCCTTGGCTGGCGTACCGCCCTCACACTCTGGTTTCTGTCTTCCTTCCCAGCCACTCCCTACTGTTCGTCCATGTTGAACTTCCAGTTCTCTAGGGCACCCTGCTTCCCCCAGCACCAGTGTTTTTTTTGTTGTTGTTTTTTTTTTTTCGGAGTCTCACTCTGTCACCCAGCCTGGAGTATAGTGGCGCAATCTCGGCTCACTGTAACCTCCATCTCCTGGGTTCAAGCGATTCTCCTGCCTCAGTCTCCAGAGTACCTGCACCACCATGCCTGGCTAATTTTTGTATTTTTTAGTAGAAGCAGGGTTTCACTATATTGGATAGGCTGGCCTCAAACTCCTAACCTCATGATCTGCCCACCTCGGCCTCCCAAAGTGCTGGGATTACAAGTGCTAGCCACTGCTCCCGGCCAGCACCAGCATTTTGCACAAGCTGTTCCCTCTGCCTAACACGCTGTTTACTGCCCAAGTCCAATTCCTCTTGGTCTTTTAAGTTATGTTAGACGTTCATTACTCCAGAAAACCATCCCTGATCCAACCTCCCTCCCAGCTGTGAGGTGCCTCCTCTGGACTTCCACAATCCCCTGTTCCTTCCAGCCCAGCACTGATCAAACTTGTAAAATGTCTATGGCCTCCACCAGACTGGGAGCCCCTCCGAGCTGAGGTTGGTCTGATTATGCACTGATGTCCCCACTTCCCAGTGGCAAGGCTCCTGCTAGCTCCTACAGTTTGGGAAGGGAGCAGGAGCTGGGTGTCAGGAGGCCCAGTTCATTTCCTTCCCTGGACTGCAGTCCCTCATCTGTATGATGAAAACTGAGGGCCACTGGCTGATCCTCTAAGGACTGGGAGTGAAACTTTGGGGGTAGGGACAGCAGCTGAGCTCTCAGACACCCTTATCAGTCCTCTAGAGGCAACTCCAGACAGACATGAGACTGGGCTCTGCAACAGGCATGATCTGGGCCATTCCAGCCAAAGGTCAGTCCTCAGTAAGCAGCTGCAACCAGCTTGGCCCTGGACCCTGCCTGCCCATCCCCCTACCCTTTCCTCCCCTGAGAGCCAGGAATAAAAAGGATCTTGGCTGGCCACACTTCTGGCTTGGGCTCAGGAACACGTGTGCAGACCTGTGTGTATGTCTATAGATATGCTTCTGTAAGAACATCTATATTTGTGTGAAAGCACGTACATCCCTGTGCACGAGTCTGTGAGTGCATGCCTATGCACCAGTGCATGTGCGCCACATGCATAGTCACGCCAGTGTGCTCCTGTGCCCC